CTCCCCTGGTTTTTTTTTTTGAAACTTGGTATGGAAAGGTCTGGTAAAACACATAAACCCAAACCCACCCTTCTAAATATTTGCATACTGTATTTCCCCTTTAAAGTCCATAGCACATGGCCGTGCCAACAGAAACTGCAGCTGTAACGGAAGAAATATTCAATCTCAGAAGAAAAGTTTAAAAAGTCACTAATCAAGTGGGAAATTTCTCAACAATATTGAAACTTGGTATGGAAAGGTCTGGTAAAACACATAAACCCAAACCCACCCTTCTAAATATTTGCATACTGTATTTCCCCTTTAAAGTCCATAGCACATGGCCGTGCCAACAGAAACTGCAGCTGTAACGGAAGAAATATTCAATCTCAGAAGAAAAGTTTAAAAAGTCACTAATCAAGTGGGAAATTTCTCAACAATAAAACCTAGAGGGAGGAAGACAGGTATGCAGAGATTACAAACCCTCTCAGAAGAGCTGTGTCTAGCTGGCCTGGGAAAAAAAGGGGCTGACAGACATTCTAGTTACTTTGCTGCACCCCAAACAGACCAGGACAGGAACCACTATTTCTTCTTATGAAGCTGCTATAAAAGCATTTAATTTGCAGGAACTTGCAGGAACCTGCAAATGCCATTTTACAGGAAAACTGGAGAGTGCAGTTAATGTACTTATTAATTAAAGTCATGGCCTGCATCCTGACCCACCCTCCTATGACTGAACCACTGGCATGTTTGAGGCAAGTTCCTTATATAAACAGGTCAGTATTTCAAATCTGCCCAGGCACTCTGATTAGTGTCCTTTGCAATGCCAGATCAAACAGTCCCAATTTGTCAGTGATGTGAAGGACAGACTGGGGAGTGCAGTGGAAAGCTTGTAACAAAGGTAGGTGAAAGAAGTGCTGACATACTTACAGTTGCATTTCTTCTGAACAAATCTAAGCTTGCATGCTGTTCGGTAGGTGGACAAGCGAATGCGATCCAGATCCTGAGCCCCTAGTGGAAGAGAATAACGGTGACATTTGTATGGAATATGACCTGTGCGTATCTTTGCTCCCAGGGAAGCCAGAGAACAAAGGGGACACATGAGCTGACTCTGTCTTAACAATTTTAAAGGCTCTCTCCTTTGCAGAGGGAGTAGAGAGGAGTGAGGAGTAAGAAGGGAAATGTCAGAAGCTACAGTGTTAAAAGACTTTTATAAAGGAAGGCAAGGAATAGTCAGCCCAATGTGTCTGTCACTTTGAAGAACAATCTGGTCAAGCTGCAGGCTAAAAGACACACTGGCCAGGCTCCAATAACAGGGAAAACCTCCGTCCAATTTTAATATTTAACAAAAATCTCAAAACAAATTTCTTTAGCTGACATGCCAAATCAGAACAAGATATTGACAGCAAACCAAATCAGAAAAAAAAACCAAGTGGTAATGTAAAGACTCATGGCAATCTGCAGAAGGGGGCAGAAATAATGCAAAGGGTGTGAGGCCTTTCTCCATTTTGCAGAGGTATATTCTCTGCAATGGAGACCTCAAAGGGTCAGCTCCCTGCTTCACACACAGCTTGGCCCTGGCTGCTGCAGCTTAAGGGTCTGGTACCATTTCCAAAGCAGTTGTCTGGGAGATAGGAACAAACTAACTGGTAGCTACAAGCTCACATACAAGAGGGACCAGGATGGGGACAGAACCTGGCACTGTGTTCAATAAACACATCCAAACAAGGTATGATCAGGAGGTAAGAGAAGTGGAATGGTATACGGCCCAGCTTTTGCACAAACTTCCTAAATGCTTTCCTTCTTTTTCCTCTTCACATTTTTAGACTCAGCTGTACTGTCATACATATGGACATGTCGGCATCTGTAGCAGGATGCTCTGCCTAAGCGGGGGTATATAACAGCTCAAACTTTCCCCTATTTGCAAAAGTTATCAGTGGTGGATGGAGAAGGGAGATCATGCTGCTTTTAATCCTGAAGTATATTGAGATCAGCCTGACTCCACAATCTCAAAGGTAAACATTCTGAGGATGTGAAAAACTGTCTCCTGACAGAACACTGATAAGGACATGGTAGACAAAGTTCCTGATAAAGGAATCAAAAAGTGATAGTAATGATAATTTATCTAAAGCTGCTGAGCTAAAGATTGCTGAGCTGGCATGGGTAGCCTAGAAACATATGACTGACAGTCAATCACTTTGTACTATAAAAGCCCAGTGCCACTTTTTAATGGCAGAGACTTCTAACACACTCCTACTCGAGGTGTGCATGAGGACTCCTCCCTTGAGTGGGGATGCCCCTCAAAGTTACTCCTTGAGGCTGAGTGAAAGGGATTTGCTCATGGTTATTGGTATGGATAAGTAACACCAATCTCTACTTAATAACGACTAAGCTAGCTTTGAAATTATTAATTTAATAAATAATGCACTATATTAATAGTTATAACTATCTACACTGCATGGCAAATAATTTTGATTAAAGTATTTTAGTCTAATGATTATAATGATCATCAGTTTAAATAAATCTTTATTTTATTCATAATATTTGTTTTGCTATCCTTGATTCTATGGGACAAATCATATAAAGGATCAGTTATACTTATATAATCCTTTAGCCATAAACTGTTGACCGAGTCTGGGACTACGACTGGATCCAGCTGCACTCAAGACTCCTCTCTGAGAAGGAGTTTAGAAAGTGAGGGGGTCCTTCCTACACCCTGTGACTCCATGGAAGGGCTTCCCTGATAAACCTTGTCCAAAGCTTCCATTCTGTATTGTTCAAGCACACTTTCTTAAACAATCTGTCACCTTCTGGACCCAAATTTTTCAAATATGCTCTGACCTATGAGATGAAAATGAGAATGATAATCTTTCCTCTCCCCAGATTCTGCTCTTTTCCTGACTAGATTCTCCCACACTGTCCTCCCAGGGCTCCCAGATACTCCCTTTTGCCAGTTAGCTCTCTTAACACCATCTGCTCCTGGGAGAAATTACCCATAACTACTTAACATCAGGCCTGGGCAGTATTTCTGTGGGTTTTTTTCCCCATCATATGCTTTGTTGTTAAAATTATACAGGTTTTTCTCTTCTCCATTAGTATCTCATTGACAGCTTTTGGAAAATTTCTTTACTGGTAAAGGGGAGATAATGCTTGCAACACTAGGTCTTTCCTTTTTTAATAATACTGGTGAGTAAAATGCATGCAACTTTTTCACTCTTAATTTTAGTGAAAGTTACTAAGAAAAGCTTCAAGTGCTTCTTTGTAAAACTTTGTCCTTTTAACAAGATTTAAAGAATCAAAGCGAAGTGAGACTCTGGCTCATTGAGCTTCTGAGGTTGCAGTATTAATCCTAAATAAACAAATTTGTAGGCTATAATGCTGCTTTTTTTTTCTTTACTATTTGCACACACAGTGGATGGTGTTATTTTAATACCATTTGGGGCGTAGGTGTTTTTGCTGATAGATCCCTTGAACAGACAATTTAATCTCATCATGATCCACATTTTGCCACAGACAGAGAACTATCTGTCAAATAACATCCGTAGAAAAGTGACATAACTTACATGGAGAGTACTGAAAAACAAGTGCAAAGATGTGCAGGACTGAGCACAGCAAATGAGACTGAATTTATAACTTCCCTGCAGGATTCCTAGTGGCCCCTCCTTCCTTTTGCCTGCTGGCAGTGCTTCACTGTTTCCTTTGAATATACTCATGTCGTGTAACACTTCAGTTTGCAAAAATAACAAAGGGATACATTGCAAGCTTTGGCTGTTGTTTTCTTGCAGGACAATATGTGCTGGCAGCACAACAGTGATATACATTTTGAACTCTTCATCAGTCTGAGGCTTGTCAGCTAAGACTATGGCAAGGCTAAGACCTAGTGATCTGACACCCAATAGGGCATTTTGAGTTATAAGACAATTCAATTTTTATCCATAGGACTCTACAGAAGATGATCATGATACTAATTCACAAAGGTTTGTGGTTTGGAACTAGAAAGATGCCTCTTCTGAAGGAAAGGAAACAAAAAAGTCAAACTGAACCCCTAAGACTACAGGGAAAATCACACTGGCCCAAATTGAAAGTCAGAGTCAAATCCCTAAAATACATTTAGTTTTTCACAAAGACTTAATATTTCCCCCCTCTATTTACCTAGTCTTTTTGCCTAAAGACTTAATATTTTCCCCTCTTTTTACCTGGTGTTCCTGGTTGGAATGCCCAGTTCTCTGTGTGCACATGTAGTAGGTGGAGAAACAGAGGCAGGCAAACAGAAAAGGGGAGCACACGTGAGATAACCCAGACTCAAGTAAGTATGTCAAAATATTAAAATGTGAAAGAAAAAATAGCAGACTATCACTACATGTGTACAATATGGGAAAATAGTCCCACCTCCGCCTCCAACCGCTGATTTTCCCAACACTTCCTTAACTCCTCCAGAAGAACCCAACATCAAAACACTCTTCAAAACTGTGGGAACAAACCCTAAATCCTCAAAGCAAATTTTTAAACATTTTAGGAATATTTCAAATTAACTGAAGGTAATGGTCATTGTGCTATTGACTTCAGCTGACACAAGCTCAAGTTCCTACCATAATTCTAATTAAAAGTATAGTACAGTCTGATAATGGATAAAACCATTTTTTCATTCTGGCCAAAGAACAACCCCTCCTTCCACTGGTCCAAGAAGTTGCACGCAAGAGACAACTGAGTCCTAGAATACCCTGAGTTGGAAGGGACACACAAGAATAAATGAGTTCAACTCCTGGCCCCGCACAGGATAACCCGAAAAATCACACCACGTGCCTGAGAGCATTGTACAAGTGCTTCTTGAACTCTCTCAGGCTTGGTGCCATGACCACTTCCCTGGGGAGCCTGTTCCACTGCCCAACCACCCTCTGGCTGAAGAGCTTTTTCCTAATATCCTGTCACAGGTCACCAGAGAGAAGAGATCATTTGAGTTACATGAGCAAGCCCTGTGAAATACTGAAATAATTACAGGGCACTACTAGCTACAGAGCTAGTGGACACAGTGGAATGGGCCAAGACAGTTCTCAGCAGGCCATCTGAATGAGAAGTCCTTAATTTGGAAAGCTCAGGAGCTCAGACGTAAGACTCACTCCTGGAGAACAGTCACAAGCACATTCGATTCGCCAGCACAGACCTGGCCTTTCAGTATGCACAATAACTCATGCTGCAGTAATACTCATCTTAGTCTCCCTGCAAAGATGAGGGAGATGCTCTATCATTGTTTACTATGTTGCAGGGGACAAACAATAGGAAGCTCAGTAATTACAGACAAAACTCAGGTAAATCTAGTAACAGGGTGACAGTCTCAAACTTCATATGTAATACAATTTCTTTGAAAAATGGTGGATTGGTTGTAAGAAAAGAGATGACTGTCAGGAGAAGTGCAGGAACATTGTTGGTATAGTACTTTCCTGACACACTATCCTGCAGGGAGCATTGAGCTTCACCAGAAACTATAAAAAAATGTTCTGAAGTGGGATATGAAGTACATGAATCCCTGTACTGTGTCTGGCTGGGATGCAGTTAACTTTCTTTATAGCAGTCTCCACAGTGCTGTGTTTTTGATTTGTGGCTAAAAAGTGTTGATAACACATGGCTGTTTAACAGTGCTGTGTGAGAACACACAGCACCCAGGCCTCTGTTTCCTACTCTGTCCCCTTCCAGAGCTGGCTGGGGATGGACAAGAGGTTGGGAGGGGACACAGCAAGGACAGGTGGCCCCACCTGGCTGAAAGGATAGTCTATACCATAGAATGCCATGTGCAGCAATA